TGTAAATATCTTTTTGTTTTCCGATGGTCTTAGGCGACCCCTGTGAAAGGGTCGTTCGACCCCCAAAGGGGTCGCGACCCACAGGTTGAGAACCGCTGCCCAATATCATACAATATCTATTACAATTCCATTGACTCCATTCCTACACTCTACTCCATGTCCCATGACTATATGTATATATAATTATAGTTGACATACACTGTTATTCAACATCAACTTCACTAACTAGGTTTTGTAAAGCTCACACTATTGGGTAATGTAACTGTCCAGTAAATTAAAAAAACCACTGTATTTAGTATTTTCTTTTCTCAGAAAAGGCAGGAATAGATTTCTTCAACGTAATAAAGCACCAGGGTTTCGTTCCACAATTTTTTTCCAAAGGGGTACATTTAGAAGTGTGCAAAACAGGCAGGGTAGTAGAGTGTCTGACTTGGGAAGTTGAGTGTGAATCCTGGACTTGCTAACATAACGCCTCGGTGACCGTTAGCAATTCAGGTCACTTCTCCAAATGTAGTTTCTTCTTAAACAAAGTGCGATCATGATAGTACAGATGAAAATACATGTAAAACATGGAGCATAGACCCCTGCACAAGAATGTACCCCTAATCACTAGTACCCCTACTGATGGTCAGGTCAGCACTACCTCTGGCTGGCTCTGAGCCTTCCCAGCACATCAAGAATCCCTTAGAGAACCCTCAGCATTAGTTCAGATCTGTTTGCAAGCAAGCAGCAAAACCAATCTGAGCTAGTAGACTTTGAACACTGAAAAGGGACTTACGATGTACAAGATAAATCATCTGGCCCTATTGAGGATGCAGACATATAAAGCATGGTTCATACTCTCAAGAGGTCCAAAGTCCAAAAAACACGTGGGCTGGGCAAGCCCTTATTTTACCAGGATGCACCCTGCATGACGGTAAGCCATAGGGCTGACTGCAAGGACACAGGAATATATCCATACCTTGAAGCTCAGTACTTCCAAGACTAAGTTGGACAATGGGTCATCATCCTTCAGGACACACTATGAGTATACCTCAGGCCATACCTACCCATTGGGTGTACCTTGCATCCAGTTCATTCTCCGAAAGAGAAGATCCAATGGAGTTATCACTATGCAATACGGAACCACCCAATAGGAACATTTCTGTAAAGCTATGCAAATCTACTGCCTCTCCACTCATCTGCCCTTGGCAGTATTGCCTTTGGGCCCAGACACCCAACCCTTAGTCTACGGCATGAGTAATAGCAACTTTCTACAGAAAGAAACCTTGAAGCTTAAGGTCATTTATATAACCTTTGCTAGTTTCAACTCCCAGCAACCCTCTCCCATTTCCCCATTTAGCAGCACCCAGATTTTGCTTTAGAGAATGATCCCTTTTTCAATGTACTCTGGCCCCAAAATGGGCACATGACCCAAGATAGCAGTCAGTATCACCCTGGAATCTGAATCCTGAGAAAGTTCTGGAACTGCCCAACTTCTGGTTTTTTGTGGTCTGGTTCGATTCCCCTTTAAAAGTTTCCCCAAATTCATTTTCTGTTTAAGGGAGTCAAAATTGATTCTTGCTGCTGACTAAAAAGTCCTGTGTGAAATGAGTTGCTTTGCTCAGTTTGCAGCTGTGGGCATGGTCAGTACTTCCTCGGGCAGAAAAAGTCCTATTAAGGAAAGAGTCATACTTACTATTTTGTCTTGAAACATAAAATTAAAGATGATGTAAGGAAAACACTGAGGGAACAGAGCACCAAGGTCATGCAAGGTTTGTGTGTCTACAGCTTCAACAGAAGAAAACTGGCACTGCCCAAGGTCCTTTCTTTCATTGGGCATGTTATGTTGCATATATCCTGTTATTCTTTTGGGTCAATGATACATCCAAGCATTTGATTAGATTTTATTTTCAGAAAGGCATCATTCATTAGTTTGTCTAACAGATTACATAATCAAGCAGTTTTTTTTAAAAAAATGGTAATCAGAAAATCCCACTTTCATCTGCAAAAGTCAAGCTATACGGTTAAACACAACCAAGATTATAAGAATACTAATGTCGTTAAGTCTACTGGACCTTGAGAATAATTCACCAGCACCCACAAGAAAAAGGCAAAACTTTGCCCTCCTGAAAAAGTGTATCACTTTCTAGGAAACTGGTAGAGCTTCTGAAAGCCTCAACATTTGTGATTATGCTAATAGCCCTTACAAATGTTATTTTATACAATCTGTGCCATATCAACTAGGAGTCAACAGATTTGATATCAACATTCCTGCAGATCTGCTGCTGTTCATGATGACCTCTGGAGGTCCCAAAATGCATGAAAGCATTCGCTTTGAGAGAGATTGTTGAGAAGAGCCCCCTACCCCCCCCCAAGTAGCAGTGATCATACTATTTAACCACATGCAAGGAATAAGATGGGAAATAACTGAGGACTGCAGAGAATCTAGTCAAGCTGTCACTGCAAACAGCAGTGGAAAGAAGCATGTAACTTATCTCAAATCGCAAGTGCTTCACTCTTAAACTTCTTCCCTCAAATGTGCCTGCTCTGCAAACAGGACTGGTCTTCAGAGTTTCTGAGTCTCTCTCTCTTACCCAAGTTGCTCAAGCTAGTTTTTTCTTTCCCAGCAGGAAACTATAAAGCTTTTGGAACGCAGCAGCAAAGGAAATAAGGAATACACAGATACAGGGAGTTTAGGAGATGCTCTCCTGGTATCGATTTACAGGAAAATGTTCCAGAGTGCTGCGAGCACCGGAGTCATCAGCAGAAACGTTTTCCCTGATATACTCATCGCACCACTTCTGTTACACAGGTTCTTCTGGCAGCAGCTGTAGTCTAGTTTCTTCCCTCCAAAATTTTTTGCAAGGTCGTCATAACTGCACTTAGCAAAATTCCAACACTGGTAATATATTCGTGTGTCTGGGGGAAAAAACACACACACAAAGGTAAGCAGACAAGTGGATAAAGTTCTTTACCTGTTTTTGAACTCTCAATTCTATTTCTTAGAACTTACCTTGTGGAAGTGGAGACATTTGGGCAAGAACGTGCATCCCAGTTGGGTTGTAAAGGGGAACAGTTAAGTAAATGATGATACAGCTCTAAATGGAACTTTTCCATAAAACCCAAGTCTCATTAGAGCCAGTATGGTTTGTATGGGTGAGAAACAGACAATCATACTGATGTTTTAAGAGATTTGCCAAGATTTTTAAACACATGCCCCCACTGATCCAGCAATTCCACTTCTAGAATTTACCCTATGAAGTTACCTGCAAAAATGGTTAAGATACATGCTCACAAATGGTTACTGCAGTACTAACTGTAACAGCAAAAACTATAAAACCAGCCCATTAATAAAGAAATGTTTGAAGAAATTATGGTAGAGTTCCATACAATGGAATTCCATGAAGATAAATAATGACATAGGCCTGCAGGTGCTAATGTGGAAAGAGCCTGAGGTTTAAAAAAGTGCAGAAAAATAAATTTGACTTCAGCAAAATTTAAAACATCTGTACTTCAAAGGACATTATCCAAAAAAACAAAAAATAAAACAAACAACAAAAAAACACATAAGAAAAGGGACAATATGTTTGCAACTCATATAACAGATGAGTCTAGTCAGAATATATCAAACACAACTCAACAATAAAAATACAAATAACGGGCCAGCTGAGTGGCTCAGTTGGTTAAGAGCTTGCTTAAGAGTGTGAACTCTGAACAGCGTCACCAGTTCGATTCCCACATGGGCCAGTGAGCTGAACCTGAGCTGAGCTGCTGCTGAGCTGCCAACAGGTGGCAGGATGGCTCAGCTGGTGAGCGGACTTGTTTCTAACAAGGTTGCCTGTTTGACTCCCACATGGGATGGTGGCTATGCCCACCCACAACTAAGATTGAACACGGCACCTTAAGCTGAGCGGCTGCGAGCTGTCCGTAGGCGGCCAGATGGCGACTGGACTTGGAGCTGAGCTAGCTGCGCCCTCCACAGCTAAGACTGAAGGATAACAACTTGGCTGTTCCCCTTCCCCAATTCCCCAACACTCTTCCCCTTCCCTAACTCCCCAATAAAATCTTTAAAAACAAAGACAAATAACGATTAAAAAATGGGCAAAGAATGTGTATATTTCTCCAAAGAATATATACAAATGGCCAATAAGTGCATAAAAAGATACTCAATATCATTAGTCATTAGGAAAATAGAAATCAAAACCACAATGAGAGCTTCCAGTCTAGAAGGCAGAGTAGTTTGTAAACACTGTGCTCGACTCCCCCCAAGACCACATCAAAATTACAACTAAATTATAGAACACCCTGGAGAACCACCTGCTAGCTGAATGGAGGTCCAACTAAGGATATAGAGAAGCCACACAGAGACTGGAAAGAGGGGTGGTGACACAAAAAGGGTTGGCCCCACACCCACATGTGGGGGTTGAATTGGGAGGGATATCATGGCTAGGGCATAGAGAAGAAGCCACACAGAGACTGGTAAGAGGGGTGGTGATGCAAAAAGGGTTGGCCCCACACCCACATGTGGGGGTTAAGAACTGGGAGGGATATCTGGCTGTGGAGGTCCCCTCTGAGGAGTGAGAAGCACCAGCCCCACACTGGGCTCCCCAGCTTGGAGCACCAGTGCCAGGAAGAAGAGTCCACACAACATCTGGCTGTGAAAATCAATGGGGATTCCGTCTGGGTGAGATGGAGGGCTGCTGGAAACTCAGGTGTCCTCCTATAGGGCCCATGCACAGACTCAGTCCATCCTAAAACCATGGCCCCATTTGCCCGTAACCTTGCAGAGAAGGCCCCAGCACTGGTAAACACTGTGGCTTACTGGAAGCCTCAATTGGCCACATTTTGGCACTATGCCAAGGTTGCTGGTTCCTCCAACCCCCGCTGAGATCCCTACAGCTATTTGGAGCTTGGAAAAAATAGTCAATAGTGCTCAAACTGGTAGCTTCAAACAGCTCACGGTTAAGGCAGCTCTGCTGAATGGTTTGGTGGCCACTGAGGTATGGATGTGGTTTTATGTTGGCGAGGTCACAGGCAAGCCTGGCATCACTGGCTATAATGTTTGGTTGGTTGGTTGTTTTTTTAGCTGAGCCATCCTGCCAACAGCTCAGCTCAGGCTGGGAACTGAACCAGCAACCCTGTTGCTCAGAGCTCGCACTCTTGAACGAGTTCTTAACCAACTGAGCCACTCGGCCGGCCCTCTGGCTATGTTTGAAGACCAATCGCTCACATCTGTTTCTTTTGGGTTTATTATTTGAATGTTCTTGGACCATGTGTGATCACACTGGTATTTGAATAAAATATGTCAAAAAAAAAATGTATGTCAAGTGCTTAGTGCTACATGCAACTGGTGCTATTAAGTGGTTGCTGTTACTTACTGAATACAAGTCTAATGAGAATTAGAGTGGTACAATTTTTTTCCAGGCTTTCACCATCCCATTACACTTGGGAGAGAGGGAAGGGGGAGGCTCTTACCGGCTTTGACGTAGAGACACGCATCAAAATTCTGTGTACAGTTGGTGATGGTGGTGCATTTACCTTCTGGGTTAAGGCAGCTGTAGCACTGCAGGCTATCACCTACAATCAGGAAGCAAACCCATCAGAATCTGGTAGACCCGCACTGACTTGCCCTCCTGGCAGCAGCCGGAGGCCTACCATCTCCGTCTATGGGGCAGAGGTCAGCAGCTCACAGTGTGCTTCCATTCCCACACAAACCTGCAGCCGATATATTTTTCCAAGCTCAAACTACAGGTCCAGCAGCATGTTTGGGAGCCATGATGCAAGAACAAAGGGAATTTACATATTTAAAAATCCATATAACTGTGCAGTTGAGAAGCTCCCGCCTACCTTCAGCTGGAAGTGATTAATCTGCAATGTAACAGTATATTAAAAGGAAACTATCAAGAGAATAAGCTAACAGATTCTATTAAATGCTTTCCAAGCAACGAATATGCTCTATAAAACCACATTCTCATAGACTGATAATCAGTATTTTTGGCAGTAGCTATATATTTTTGAGAAGATGTTTTCAAAGAGGAAATACATAAAATTTCATTACAGATCAGTATTAATGGATGAATAGTTACAACCAATTTGATGATAGGGAACACTAATTTTTGAATCCCAAGTAAGCAAAATGTTATTCTCCCCAAAAAGAATCCCATCCTTCTCATTAGCAGATCTGTATTATAAATAATTGTACTCAGTTATTACAGTTTGAATTTTGTCAATTACAATTTGGTAAAAATGTGTCTTCTCTCTTGTTACAAATATAAAAGCCTACATAATATCCTTGATTCTGTCTCTTGGCCTGCAAAGCCTCAAATAGTTACTCTCTGGCCCTCCAGAGAACAAGTTTGATGACCTGTGGGGTAAGGTGTCATCACTGAAGCTGCTCCCTGCTGCAGGAGTGACCCAGCCAGAAGCACACACAATCAAGGGAAAGACAGCAGCTGTGCACCTTCAACTCAGGTCCCTGGGCAGCCAGGCCTTAGCAGTGACACTGAACATAAGAGACAACATACATGAGACACAAAACCGGTAGTGTCAACATGACCCAGGCAGAAAATGATATTTGTTCCTTATGATGAAGCAAAGCGAGTCACACAGGTGTTCCTAGTGTTACAGAGGTAAGATTCAGGAATACACCAATACCTCTAGGAGCCAGGGAGAGGTGCTCTGGAGGTGAAGGAGTTAAGGGCAGAAGCTCTAGCACCAGGCTGTTTGGGTTCAAATTTTGGCTGTACCACTTCTGTGGGGTATTTTATAAGTTATTTAATCTGCTTGAGCCTCAGTCTTGTCATTTGTAAAATGGTGATAAAAACAGTACCTACTCCATAGGGTTGACATGAGGATTAAATAAGTAAATATCTGTGAAATGCTCAGAACAGTGATGGGCCCACAAATTCTATAACTATTAGCTGCTGCCGCTATTACCGTGATCATCATCCTCATCAGAACACAGAGGCCCCAGGGCAGAGGGCCTGAGCTCAGCACTCTAAATGTCCACAGCACTCTAAGTGTCCACTGGTACTCCCCACAGCTTGTGATGAGAGAGGGAGTAACTTAAGCTGCTGAGGTGTAGCTTCCTCGGCCCCTCCCCACTAAAAGCAGCTCTGTAACCCAGGATGGGCTGTAACTCAGGAAGGTGCTCCACTGAGGGCAAGGCCGTAACGTAGGAAGGAGCTGTCACAAAACTCTGGGCCTGTAATACTGGAAGGCAAGAGAACCAAGGGCAGGCTGATGCCAGTGGCATCAGCTCAGTCTTCTGAGCTGTACCACATCTGTGGGGTCAAAAAAAAAAAAGGAAGCACAAGGCCGAGGGGGCCTAGATGGTTTAGATCCACGTCCCTCTGGACCACTCACCTGAATGGTAGAGGACACACAGGACGAGCAGGAGCCTGAGAACGAAACTTCCTTTGCTTCTCATTATGACTGTCTACAGAATCTGAAAGGAAGACACACAAAGAATTTTCATGAACCAACAAATGACTGCTGGTTTTCTCAGAAACCAAGAGTTAGGAGGCGTAGGGAGCTTCCTGAGACATGACGAAGGAGCTAGCAGACCAAGAAAGTACAGGAAACCTACCAAACCAGGGTGTCAGAAACCAAGGGTGACTCAAGTGGGGCAGCACTTGGTTCCCTCTTGCCCCAAGACCTAAACTTGCTGAAGAAATGCGGTCAGTCCTGGTGAGAGGGGCAGCTATGGGGAGTCAAAACACAGTGGGCCAGGCCGGCCAAGTGGCGCGTTGGTTAAGAGCTGGCTTGGGACTCCAGAGGGCCCCGGTTCGGATCCCACATATGAGGGCCAGTGACACTGCCCTCCACAGCTAAGATGCTGAACAACAGCTCAACCTGGAGCTGGGCTGCCGTGAGTCGCCGGCAACAGCGTAGGCTGCAGCCCCTGCTGCAGTGGGTTGCCATGGGCTACTTTGTGTGGCCAGCAGCCAGCGTGAGCGGCCAGCAGCCGCAGTGAGCAGCCGTCCAGAAGCCGGCGACTGATCTGCCTCGCCCGGGAAGAGCGCAATGATGGTGCCAACTTGGGCCAGTGAAGCAACGTCCTCCACAACTAGACTGAAGAACAAAACAACAGCAACTTGTCTGTTCCCCTTCCCCAATTCCCCAATAAAAAAAATCTTAAAAAAAAAAAGAACAATTATTAAAACAAACAAACAAACAAACAAACAAACAAAACACAGTGGGCCTAGAGTCAGGACTACCCTCGTCCTGCCCTCTCACAGTAACCATGGAGCCTTTAGTCAACTCCATCCCTGCAAGCCTCGGTGTTCACTCCTGTGTAGTGGGCATAGCAACATCTTCCCCATAAGGGTTGTTCAGTGAAATGAGGATATGAGGACAGTAGTCAATCCAGCAACTGCAACTCCTGCCCTGCTGCAATTCCAGCCTAAGCTGCTGGCTGAGCCGGGGCCCAGTAAAGGCCACTTCTCCAGGCCACGCCAAACCAAACAGGTCAGACCAAATGGGTGACTCTGGAAGGCACCGACATGCATTCAGCAGCAGAACAGGAGGCAAACGCTCAGTGTGCCTGGAAACTCTGGCTCCCACCTTAGCAAGTATGATGGGGATGTAACAGAGGGAAATGCTCGGCCTCTCTGACTCCATCTCATTCCAGCCTGCCTTGTGTCCATGGCCTTCAGGCTAACAGTTCCTGCTTACTCTTTGCACACAGACATGCCAATCATTATGGGAATTCTGCTTGTGGCCTCAGTTTTACAAAAACAGTCCCTCCAATTTCCCCTTCCCCTGACGTAAAAGAAGCCTGAACCCTGCACTTTGGTAAGATGAATTTGAGGAACCACTAGGTCTCCCATCTTCTCTGTTGGCTCCTTCTCCATCAATAAGCCTTTCCTTACTCCAAACATTGAAGTTTTGAGTTTTTGGCCTTTCAAAGCATCAGGTACCTGGACTTTGAACCGGTAACAGGGACACCTCCTTGATCACTCTGGAAAAGTAAAAAGGGATTCCAGGTAACTTTGATGACTAGTCCTCATTTATGCCTAAATGTGTAGCAGTGAGCAGCAAACCCTCCTTTCGTCTGCTAAGGAAGCCAAAGCACAGGGAGATTTTTCATTGTCCAACCCATGAGTAGCAGCTCTAAGAAGTCTCCCAACCACACCTCTGCTTCCTGAGCCCATGGTGGGGGGGAAGGGGGGCCTCCACATTCTATTCTCCGGAGTCCCATAGGCCAGGATTGCCTGGCAGACAGATGGGGTTCTTGGTACATGAGGCTCCCCTCCTCCTCTAGGTTCGGAATGTTATCTCACACATTTGAAGGTCATCTGCTGATAAAGGTCAGGAAAGGGTTGAGAAGCAGGAAGGGCCCAGTCGGGGCCTCTTCTCTTGTCAAGGGCCCAGGTGTTGACACTGGCCCAGTTACTGAAGGCCTGCCTCCTTTTGGCATCAACTTGCACTTTGTGAGCAAATATACTACTATGGCCAGTTGCTTTGTTAGGTGCTACTGACATGTTAACTGTATTTAATCCTCATACAATGCTGTAAAGTAAATCTGACCTCCACCTCCATTTGTAAGGAAACTGAGGGTTGAGGAGCGGTGCTAATTTATATAACTGTGGAAAGTAGAATAAACGATGCCTCTCTTCCCCAAAGATGTTCCTGTCTTATTTCCAGGGACCAGTAAATACAGGCAACCTTACATGGCAAGTGACTTTGTAGATGAGATTAAGGTTACAGAGGTTATTCTGGATTATCCAGACTACATTTAAGAAGAGGAAAGCAGCAGAGTCTGTCAGAAGAGGCAGGAGATTCAGAGAGCGAGACAGGCTTTGACCACTATTGTTGATTTTGAAGAGAGAGGAAGGGGGCTACAGCTGAGGCAAACAGGGGGCCTCTAGATGCTAAGAACTGTCTTGAACCCATGACCCCTCAGCCAGAAAACGTGACTTTCTCTTACCACAAGCACCGTATTGGGCCAATAAGCCAAATGAGGAAGTAAGTGGGTTCTCCCCCAGAGCTTCCGGAAAGGAACACCTGGTGCGCTTCTGACACCCGGATTTGAAACTGGTGAGGGTGTGGGAGACATGACTCACAGAACTGTAAGATTAATCAATTTGTGTCGTGTTAAGCCAATACATGTGTGGTGACTTGTTTCAGCAGCAATAGAAAACTAATACATCAACCTCAGAATTGGTATATGGTCGAGTAGCATGTAAACTCAGGTCTGAGCTCTTAACTAGACTTACTCTCTGGTGGGGAGACTTGTGAATTCAGCTTCTGAAATAAATGTGTTAAGCGGAGGCTCCCAGAGAAGAGATTTTATATCAGGAGATTCACAGATGCCTGTGGGTATAGTTACTGCTCCTGGGTGACTGGGGCCTCAGAGGCCTATGAACATTAAGGCTAGAAGTGTCCTCAAGGATAAAACCCAAAGTTCTTATTGTATAGGAAATTAATGGTGATCCTAGGGGACGAAGTTACCTGTCCCAAGCAAACAGGTGAGTTGCAGAGCTACATCGGGAGGATCATCATGCTTCTATTCACCAGGAGCCGATAACTCAGAAGTAGCTTAACATTACCTAGTGGCTAGCAGTGGCAAGAACCTGGAACTTTGCCTCCTTATCACCTGTAACACAGTGTTTGGGGCAGCCAAGCAGGCCTAAACAAAGATCAGTTACTCAGTACAAAGAAGTAATTATAACATCAGCAGGGAGAGACAAACAGCCAGCCACATCATAATTAACAGCCCCTTTGAGCTACTTTGAGGTCCCCGCTGCAAGGTACAACCAACCCCCACCCCCACCTCCCAGCTCTCTAAACCACATAAACCTGAGCTTCCCATACAAGGGTCTCCTCTGCGATTTACTCTAGGATGCCAACTCCCTAGCTTTCCAGAGGGCCACTCACAGAGAGCCTATTCATGACCCTGGCCTTGGAGGTTATACTTGCAGAGCCAACTGTTGAATGAAGATATTTCACAAAAATACAGGGCGCAGATAAAAACACTTCCTCCCCTTTGAAAACCTCAAGCAGCTCAGGCTTGGTTTTTTTTGTGGCAGTCCAAGCTGATGTTCTTCAAGAGCTGCCTCAGAATTTTTAAATGCACTCCTTTTTAAGAGTTTCTACTTGCAGGGCTGGCCGAGTGGCACATTGGTTAAGAGCTGGCTTGGGACGCCAGAGGGCCCGGTTCAGATCCCACATATGAGGGCCAGTGACACTGCCCTCCACAGCTAAGATGCTGAACAACAGCTCAACCTGGAGCTGGGCTG